CCTAGATTTACATTTTCTTTTATATCATTAATTAGTAGCACTTGAGAAACACATTTTTTTGTTTGTAAGTAATACTTCAAGTGTGACAAATACATATTATTAAATCAATTACCTTGTACCTGTCCCCAGTCTACATTACATGATCAAGTCTTAAAGCACAGGCCCATTTGGTAGTGGTACATTCAAAACTGTAAAAAATAGGGGACCAGCAGATGGTGTAATGGTTACGTGGCTGGACTCCCACGCAGTTGATTATGGTTCGAGTCCTGGACCCAGCAGCTTAAAACTCATGCCAGGACATGTGTGTGCAGGCCAAAAATCCTGAAAGGAGAATGGAGAAGGGACTGCAGTGTGGCCATTCACCCAGGAGGGGTATCTCTCACATTCTGTCTCTTTCTATCTCTATAGGCAAGTGCACAAGCCCTACAGCAATAATTTCTCTAAAACAAAAAGAAAAAAAGTAGGGATAAGTTGAGTGATTATTTTCTACCTAGTAATTTGAAATTCTATCATGAACTGCCAAAATTCTAATAAAGGAACAAATTTACATGACATGCTTAGGTTAAAAATTAACCCTAACTTCAGATTAAAGGAAAGCTGACCTAAAATGTGAAATTCAAAAATGTGTACTCATTGCTTAAAAGTTAATTTCTATAATTTCATCTAACATCTGCAGGCATGCATAAAAAAGGTCAATCCTTCAAATACTGTCTACAATAATTCTTTTCACACAAGTATATCATTTAAAATTAAATTTCTCTAAAGAAGTCATTCTAGACTCTTGAAAAACTGATTGAGTCTAGCCACCTGAGATGAACGGCAGATAAAGGTAATCCCATACTGTTCCCAATGAAAAAGTCCCACTGCATGTATTACAAATGTAAAAATTCTCAGTATTTAAATGACTGGAAAATTAAGAAAACTGATAGACTGGGCCTAATTCAAAATGCTTACACAGTTTTCAGTAAGAAATTTAGCTTCTGTCCTTTTTTTAACTTATCTGTGTATTTGTCTTCAACATGAGAACAAATTTCTAGTTGGGGTCTGCATTCCACAGAAAGTAACAATAAATTACATTTACAAACAGTAATTCAGTTTTGAAAATAGCACTCACCTGATTAGCTAAGTAAAATAAATGCCAAATGACTAATTTGGAAAAAGACTTTATTTATCTGACTACCAGGTTTTCAAAGTGGAAGGTGATCTGACTTTTTTCCAAGCATATAGTTGAAAATAATCGCATTATTAAATTATTTAAGATTTAATACCTTAAAGTGTCTATTTATTATCTACTAAATTGGCCAGCTAGAAAGAACCACAGCACAGTTTAGATCAATGTTCCACAACACACTTGTTTCCTGTGATATTAAAAGTGATATTGCATAAAAGATAAATGCTGGCAGTATTTTTCCCTAAAAATGTATTGCTTCAATACTCCACAAGAGGTTTTAAATGACCGGACAGTTATTATCATGCAACAATCTGCCTTTAGGAAATAGTTTATCATGGCTAAGAGTGCCATGAAGCCATTTAACCCATGAATGTGTGACATATGAGCACCGCAACGCATTTACCAATGACCACAATGTTGCACATTCAACATACATGATCCTTTACTGCAGTAATGAATGTTTCCATTATACCAATTTTGGTAACATTATAAATTTGCAAATATTAGTACAGATGAAATATGCCAAAACTTGAAATAAGGATTGAAATAACTGGCATCAAATATTGGCATCATGTCTTTACTACGGAATTTACAAACTTAAAGTTACTGAAAATAATTTGCAGAGGAGGATATTAATAGGTCTATATTGATTTTTAATAGCAAGAGCATAAGGAAAATTACTTGGAATAAATATGATTCTTTAATCTTCTAACCCACAAAGGAACATGCCTATGAGAACCTGCCTTGTAGCGTAGCAGCTAACTGCTGTGCATAGAAAGCTGGGGCCACGTAGCCTCCAACAGTTCAAATCTCAGCTCCTGTGGCTTGAAAAACTATGTGCCCAAGATGCTGATGGGAAGGAAAAATCGAAGGAAAAGGAGTGTGGCATGATCATGCCCCATTTGAGGGTGCTTTCTCTCTCTCCAGTCTGCACACATGTTCACTGGCAATTAAAAAAAGAACTTCAAATTTTTAGTGAACTTCCAGAGTATCATCTTCAAGTTTTAAAATGATCATCCAGCAAATGTCATTATATAGACACACCCTGGGATTTATGACAATTTGGCAAAAACTAGATTACAGCTGCTTTTTTTCTCATTGAGGAGGAAAATTTAGCCCAATACTCTTGCAAACATGTTTATATGAAGCATGAATAAACACTTTAAACCTGTTCACATAACTAGAAAAGTGTTAATATATGCTACTTAAAAATGATTACAAGCATTAAAGCCAGGTCTTTATTCTCTGTATCTTTTTAGCCATGTAGATGTTAAAGCTACTTTGAAAGTAACAAAGTGAAACTAAAAAATATTCTGAATCAGCCACTCTTTACAGAACTCCCATATTTTTCTGATAAGCTCAAGTTTTACTTTCTACTATGTATGTGTGTGTGTTTATTTATTTATTTTGCTACAGACAGCAAGCACTTGCCAGAGACAGAGAGAGGGAAAGTAGCACTCTCCAGATGGCATGGCCACACCATAATCTCTTCTCCATGCTCCTCTCAGGATTTTTGGAACACACCTACAGGTGCCAAATGTGTTTTCAAGCCACCAGGTCTGGGACTTGAACCACGCTGGCCATGTAGGATCCAGTGCCTTAATCTCCATATCACCTTTTTTTTTTTTTGAGAGAGAGATTTTTGTTATAGGGAACATGCACTCACTGGAGAGATAAAGTGAGAAGTCATCCCCCCAAGAGGGATGGTCAAGCTGCAATCCCATCTCCTCTATTCTCCTCTCAGGATCTTAGGCACGCATGCTCCCAGCCCAGTGTGAGTTTTAAGCTGCCAGATCCGGGACTCAAACCACAGCTATGTGAGAGTCCAGTGACATAACCATTATGTCACCAGCTGGTCCCAAGTTTTATTTCCATGTTAAGTAAATTAAAGCACATCACTTCACTCTGTCTTCCATACAGGAAAGCAAAAAGGGTTTTACTTCATTTAGTGATAATATCTCACACAGAAGTGCTTATCGGTGAGGACTTTCATCCTATCATGCTATATGTCCTATTTACCACCATTCTTTCCCTGACATCAAGACTTGTTTATAATTTAGGGAATAGAAGTATGTTAACCTCCAGGGCAATTCCTGTCCCTCCAGACTGCTTACCTGAATATACTTCCGCTGAGTTTCATCATTTAAAACATGTGCAACATGCTTTGAAAAAATCTTTTCTCTGCCAGTTCTGGCATGGATACCGACCATAGTGACACCAATGGGCCAAGGTGCATTTCCAATGGCCATCTGAAGATAAGCATCATTCGCCTGAAAGGGAAGTTTAAGGAAAAATCAGAAAGGCAAAACCAATGTGATGGTCTCAATTTTTATTTCAAGTGATTCACAGCCCTTTATGATAAAATTTTCACCCACCTCCTGAATAAATAAAAAATTTTCATTATTCTAACAAAAGAGATTGACATATGGAGTGACTGAATGCCTTGCCCAGGACCACAAAAGTCCATGGAAAAACAAAAACCAAAGCTAAGGCAGTGAGTAAAAAAAGACAAACACTCCTTAGACTTTGTGCACTGGAAATCTGGAAATTAATAACAGGTTTCAGATCTGGAGTTTGCAGGTAGGTCACTGGATGCACTGACAGAAACTCAAGTTTGGGTCTCCTTTAGACCCAGTCCTCTCCATAAGTGGTCATCCAGAAAACAGAGGCTGACTAGTTTTCATGATCCAGCCTGAAACTGAATCTACTCCCAGCATATCCTCACAGATCTCTGAACGCTGTGGGGGCTCTTGGGACTACCACATAGGGTCCATAACAGATGTGAAAACAGAGATTAAATACTGGGCCTCAGGTCAAATAGCTAAAGGATGAGATAGGTTCACTTTGCCTCCCACACCCCCAAACTTCCCACCTGCCAAGAATCTTAAAATAAAAGCTACCAAAAGTGAAGACAAAAAGCAATGAAAACAAATGGCTTTTTTCTTAACCAAGCCTGTGAGAAAAAAGGAGAGAAAAAACAGATGGCAGGTAAATTCTAAAAGACCTTGAGAGTTTCAGATAAGCTTATATAGCCAGCCCTCAAAAAGACTTTAATTTCAAAAATCAACTTTACCCATGTAATTCATACTAGAGTAGATTTAAAAAAACGAAAACCAAAAAAACCCAGGAACTACATATAGGTTAACTAGAAGAGCATTTTCTACCCTGAAGATAAATTTGAACTTGCTCTGATCAACAGATATTGTAAAACCTATTTTTTTTTTTTTTGAGAGAGGTTTTTGCTATAGGGCGCGTGTGCTCGCCAGACAGAGAGAGACAGAGAGAGAGAAAGCAAGAAATCACCCCCCAGAGGGGATGGCCATGCCGCAATCCCTTCTCCTCCATTCTCCTCTCGGGATCTTGATCACACAGGCACACGAACCCGGCATGAGTTTAAGCCATCGGGTCTGGGACTCGAACCATGGTCGACTACATGGGAATCCAGCAACATAGCTATTACGCCAATTGCTGGTCCCTGTAAAACCTATTTTTAAAAGGAAATGGTACATATTTTCATCACTGATTCTCATGTGTATAAATTTTAACACTGGACCTTAGCTAAAAATTCCAGTATTGCATTTCCTCAAAATGACAAAACTTCTGAACAGATTATTAAAATACCTTCATCTGAATCTCACAATAGGATCAGGAGAAAAAGTAAACTGGAAGAGGCCAGCAGATGGCATAGTGGTTAACATGCTGGACTCCCACATGGTCAACCATTGTTTGAGTCATGGACCTGACGGCTTGCCTTCTCACTTTCCCCTCTCTGTCTCTCTGTTCAAACTAAATAATAATAATACAATATATAAAATAACTCTTTTTAAAAAAGTAAATGGGGACCGGCAGGTGACATAATGGTTACGTCAATGAACTCTGTCATGGCCATCCACGGTTCAAGTCCTGGACCTAGCAGCTTGAAATTCATACCAGGTGCATGTACATGTGTGCTCAAAATCATGATAGGAGAATAGAGAAGAAGGTGTGGTCATCTCCCTGATGGTTGATCTTTCGCTTTCTGTCTCTCTGTGTTTCTGTGAGCATAAGCCCCCCATGACAAAAATCTCTCTCTCTCAAAAAAAAAAAAAAAAAGTAAACGGGGAAAGGAGTTCTCTCTAGCAGGCAGGTGATCTGAGCTCTTCGTGCAGTGCTGCTGACCACATCCATCCATTCCCACACTATTATCTTTCATAGGATCATGGAACTGATTGAAACTATGAATGAAACTGAGAGTCAGAAAGCAAATACACTTTCTCTGAGAAGACAGGCACTTACAGGGAGTCAAATCACTGTGTCTAAGGCTCTAATTGAGTAAACCATTTAGTCCCCCGGGAACACCAGCAGTCCCTTCTTACGAGTGCAGATACAATGAGGAAAAGCAAAGTCATTTCCACTTTTCTACTGCCCTGGCACTGGTGCAGGAACTGCTTCACTGAAATTCTCTACTTCTAGTCTCCTACAGCTACCAGAGACCTCCCTCCTCAAAAACTGCCATATGTCCAATCCCCACTACTCACCAGGCCCTTCTCAAGATTCCCCTCTTCTGACAGCTCTCCACTCTCCTCTTTCTAAACTTCATCCCACAAGCCCTAGACACAGGAGCTTATCTCCTCTCAGAGCCTATTGAGGAAAAAGCCACTGGAACAAGGGAGAAAACCTTTCTTGATAAAGGGTCTGTTATAGTTGCGGTACTGAAATGGGAGAGACAAAATCCTGGTGGCCTTACTTGGAACATTTTCCCATAGAAACTATTACAAAGGGTGGTTAAATTCCATTGTTTCATCCATACAATAGTTCAGCTATAGTAGAGATTATGTGGGCTTTTTATAGCTGGTCTGGGAAACTAATCTATATAAAATTGCTTCTATGGGAAAATTTGTTCCGAACTATAATCAACCATTTATATAAAATGAACACTGAAAGAACCTGTGCAGAACCTTTAATCTACTTTCAAAATGGTAAGAAAATACAGTTGTGGTCTAAAGGTCTGTTATTTAACGCCTAATATTATAGTTGACAATATAATATGAAACTTCTGTTACCACTAGGTCATTCCACATTTACTCTCAACTCTACCATGTAAAATCTCCCATCCCAAATAAACGATACACATGTAACCTATCGACAGAAATGCTTATAACGGCTTCAGTGTACAGCCGAATAATGTACCTTCACATATTCTCTCTGCAACATGAATTTGATAATATCTGTTATTGATTCTTTAATATCCGCAGGAAGATTCTGGAAAAGAAAAGAAACAGGCATAACTAACTTCGGAAGCTACTATGTGTAATGAAAAATAAACTGCATTTATACAAAATCTACATATTCTATTTTTTAAAAGTGAGTTAATAAAGCATTTTTCAAGAAAGCTCACCCTTTTCCGTAGCTTTCTAAAAAGTGGTCTGAGATAGGACTCAGTCTGTTTCTGAGTAGCACTGTTCAATTTACCCTGCACACTGCGTTTCACGTAATCTTCTCTGGCATTCAATTCTTTGGCCCAAACGCCAAGGAGAAACTGTTGAAAAGAATGGGTAAATTTAGACTACAATGCCACCCAGTGGTTCAGTAAGTTTAAAGAATCTCTAACACGGTAATTCCTAACAGTAAACTATCATTTTAAAGTCAATTTCCTGAGTGACTAAAATGGCATCAAATAATACTGAACTAAAGAACTACTTCTATGCCTCTTGTCAAGTATGTTTTGAAGTAACGCCTTTGGCAAATCACAAAGAACTTTCCATAGTCTATCAAATTCATAGTCCTAAAATAATCCACTTCCTCAAAAAAAGAGCCCAGTAACTATGGCACAGCAGGAACACTAACATCCTACGGTGCTGGAAGTCACATGGAGACCACTGTTTGGATCGTAAGTTGGCTTGAAAAACACACCAGGTACACAGGGTCCAGGCATACACACTCCAGATCTTGAAAAGCTGGAGGACTGTGGTAAGGGGTTTGTGGCACGAGACCCTGTTAGGGGTGCTCGCTGGCTCATGCTCTCTCTCTCTCACACACATGTGCTTTTTATCATTTAAATAAAAGGAAAATGGAGGAAAAACTATCAAGACCTTTTTTGTTTTCAGGTTTTTGCCATAGGGCACGTGTACTAGCTGGAGAGAGACAGAGAGAGGAAAAATGAGAAATCACCCCTGGGAAGATGGCCATGCCACAACCCCTTCTCCTCCATTCTCCTCTTGGGATTTTGGGCACACACACACGCACGTGATTTTTCAAGCCACTGGGTCAGGGACTTAAACCATGGTTGGCCATGTGGGAGTCGAGAGTCTTAACTACCATGCCACCTGCTGTATCTCCAACAATATTTGATAGAAAATGAACTTTTACTTGTGCAAAGGTTATTCAGAAAGTTTGCAGAAAGTGCACATTATGAAAAAACATGCATGTATTTCAAAATTTTTTTGCACAAAAACAAGTTCGTACTTAAATTGTGTTTCCACAAATTTTCTGAAGTTCCTTGTTTACATAAAATTCAACCCACCTAGATTTACCACCCATAACAACATAAGCACTGAGGTAGTCCGTCAGTCTTCCAACTATACTTATGCAGTAGAGACCTCAATTCAATGAAAAACTCCCACAAAGGCATCCGACTAAAGGAAGAGGGAAGGAAAAATGGCATAGTAATGAACTATCTATGACCCATGCCTCCTACTCCCTAGAAAATTACCCTAGTGGCCCTTGGGTATAAGCAGTACCCTTTTCAGAGACACTTGACAGTGAAGGCTGAGGAGGACGCATCCCTCCAGTGGCATCTCCTATGCATATCCTACACATGGCATCACCGAAAGACGGAAATTTTAGTTCGTACTAGTTCCTATGCTCTAGTTAGTTCCATGCCATAATCTACATATACCAGAATCTTGATGTAAATACAGGAGCCAGCCACTAGCATGATGGTTAAAGCAGATGGATCCCACAAGACCAACTATGTGGATAAGAGTCCCAGACCTAGCAGCTTGAAAAACACATGCAGACAAATATGTGTGTGTACCTAAAGTCCTGAAAGGAGAAATGAAAGGGAAGGGACTGTGGCATTGGAGGGGGGGGAGTGACTTCTCACCTTTTTCTCCCTCTCTCTCTCACCAGTGAGTGTACATGCTCTCTAGCAAATTTTTTTTAAAAAGGATGAAATTGTAAATACAAGCAAAAGCACACTATACATTAAGTCTTTTGGTAGGAACAAACACAGTTTATGACTAGACGTTAAAATGAACCTGTGTGTTGCCAACCTTATCTAAACCCCTGGAGAGAAATGCTGAGATGTCAGATGAAAATGGCCAATTAATCACAGCAAAAATCAGAGCTATCCCCAGAGCTGATGAGAACACTCTGCGGAAGGCTACGGATATGTTTACATACTTAGTTCACTGCCAACGTCTTTCTATTCCCTTCCCTTCCTCACTGTCATCAAAGCTAGAACCATCGAATGAAATCCCTCCTAAATGGTTTAAAAAAGTAAAAAAATTCCCCCAAACTTCTTATTCATTCTGCTGGTGTGATTCTCTCCTGTGTGTTTACATAGAAAGTAAGTTAGCTTTAAAGAAATGTGCCACGAGAAAAGTAAATACACTTTTTCTTTGATTAACTGCTATACTCCAGTGCATAAACATTCAGTATATTTAAGAAATGGTTATTAAGGGTTTTTCTTTCCAGCCTTTAACCCTCGACCATACAGAAATACAAGAACAGTCCAAACTAACCAAAATGTCCTCCTTTGCTAGTCTAAGAGTACATACCTTAAGGAATCAATTTACCCTGCACCCTGCGTTTCACATAATCTTCTCTGGCATTCAATTCTTTGGCCCAAACGCCAAGAAGAAACTTAAGGAATTTGGTAATGATGTCCATGTCTTTATGATCATTGCCTTTTCCTAAAGACTCTCCCAATGTCT